TTTGTATCTCGCACACGTACCATCATGTAGACTTTGCATATACCCTTGCGCCGTGTGTAGTCTAACTTTATTTTCAAATCTTCAAAAGTCCTGCGCACCCTGTAACCTTTTGTTCTTTCGTCCCTGTTATAACTTATTGGTTAACCTAACCCAACCTGCATGATGTAATTTCAAGGACGATTTCCTTCCCACGTAAGAAGATCATTTGCCTCGTGTCTCCGCGGAGGCAGTTTTTCTTTATTTGTTCATCTCCTTTGTTCTCTTCTTAATTTTCATTTCCTTTGTAAAAGATGGCGCCCTCGGAAATTCATCCGAGGAACAAAAACGTCCGATCAAAGGTAAATTCGACGAATTCACAATTACGGCATATTGCCTGTCAAAGGTTCCATAAGTCGTAATGTATTATGTATATACTATACATATATATGTATGTATGTATCATTATCTTTTTACAAATTTTAAATTTTACCTCGATTTCCGGTATTCCCAACTGCGCATGCGCACCGTACTGGATCTCGTTGAACATTATTTCTTTTATTTCCCATGCAAACGAGTCTTTGAACGCACGAATTCGCATCTGCTGTTTCCGATATGAATACCTAATGCTACGTCCCTGAGTTTGCGAATACATTTTACGTATTTCATCTTGCCGAATTCATGTATGGAAGGAATCGTCAAGACTATATATATATATATATCGCATAACAACGGAGGAAAAAAAAACAATTTAGAATAAAACTCAAACTCTGTGTACTGCGTTTCATTACGAATGTTACCTAATTTGAATTCTACTTAATACAACCTAATTTAACTTTCCGTCGCTTAACGATGACTTGAAATCTACGTTTTCGTGTAACCACTCACGTACCTGCAATTTATATATAGATATATAGTACATAAATAAGTTTGAGCAAAACACAAACGCGAATTGTTGAAGCAAACAACAAATTACATAGGCTAGTGAACGCGCAAAATACTTAATTAAATTTTCAAAAATAACCACGTGGAAGTAGAATAAGCAGAAGCAATGGTAATTACGAAACTTGTATTGAAAAAAAAAAATCTTCAATTTATCTCCCGCCACACTTTATTTTCACTTCCCTTCTTCTTTTTTTTTTTTATTAACTTAACTTTTTTCATCGAGTGTTTTTTTTTCTATCTCCTGTACTTTCGTCAGATACAAGTAACTCACGATCAGCTGGTTGCTCGTCAAGGGAAATTTTTTTTCTATTGATTTTATTGACCCTGGCTCCAAGGTACCCTGTAAATTCGCAGCATCCATCCGCAAGACGTAAATATTTTTAAAGCTGCACAAGTACATCCACCGACGATTGGATGTAATAATTGGATGGTGCGTACAGGATGAATTACCGTGTACGAGGTCTTTATACACGTTGCGAAGGGTCGTTTATGGATGTTTGAAATATATCCCCATTTCAACTATATATATATATACACACCAACGTCATGTATACTGGCACCGATACTGTTTCAACCACAGGTGTAGCATTCCAGGGATAGAATGAATGATCGCGGGACACAGCCGCGGATCGAGTTAATCTAATACCGGGACGGTTTATACCGGTTTTACGAGCGACTAAAACTCGGTTCGTCCGGAATGATTTATTGCACCGGCCCCGTTTTTACGAGCAGTTCCTGTCGTCCCTACGCGCACCGAGACGAAGATTCGCCCTCCCAGAAAGATTCGCGATGCTCACCAGCCACTTTTTCTCCAAGACGTTTCAGCCCGAAGGATTGAATATGAATCAATGTTTCAGTCAACGTGTTACTTTTGAGTATACCTTACAGGTATTTAGGTCTGAGGATGTTTCGAAAATTTTTTTTTCTCACGTGTTACGTTACCGGGCAATGGCAATTAGTGAACACGATAGTAGCGCTGGATGAAAAAAAAAAAAAATCAACAGTCCAGGATTTTAAGCACCCAATAAACATAAGGAGACTGCCTTCGTAAAGGGAGTTGGAAAAAAAATCCCGGCGGACGAGTTTTAATTTAATCCTTTCGAGAAGTTCGTAAAAGGCTTAACTGCCGGTGGTCATTATACGAAAATGGATGACCTCGGGCACCTGCTTCCGTGAGCTTCGGACTTTTATGAAAGTTGTGCGTTAATCTTTAAGCTGTGTGTATTTGGCACTGAGCTAGAGGATCTATGAATATACGTATGATATATTAATCCTCTTAAGTACCACACGTTTATCGTGCCTAATGGTACAGTCTTGTATATAATTTTGACATCCATCATCCGTGCAATGGCAGTTAACGAAATGGCAATATACATACAGTGACGCGAATAATTCGCTTCAATGGAAACGAGGATTATACCATTGGGACTCCGAAAGAAACTAGGTCCCGCTCTGTTAACGATCTAAATCTTAAGTACAAGGTTGATCTATAATTATCGTGATGTTAAGAAAAAAATTCTTGGATCTATAATTCTCGATATACTCTATTCAGGCTGTGAACGACTTTGATCTGGACCGTGGGATCTTTTCAACAACGGAAGCATAGCTGGTAAGCGCGGATGATCTATACGCGATTCAAATTCTATTTATATCGATCACTCGTACGATCATCAGATTCGACGCTGTGGATCTTTTCTTTTATAAATTGGCACCACTGTTCGTCATCGTTAAATATATCTGAACTCTCGTCACAAGATGGATCCAAACTGGGTAGTATCTAGGATCTATAGATCGTCCTGTGAGATCTTGGTATGTAAGTCAAAGCTTTTTTTATTCAACTTTCTGTCCTTCAGTCCCAAGATATCCTTTTGGGAGTTCGATGAAATCTTCATGAGATAACGTAAAGGGATGCTGGAGAATTATCGGTGTATCTTGATGACGTAACTTTTGCAAGAGAGCGTCCTTGAGGCGATAAAGTCATGAATAACTCATCGAACCATGGAAATTCTATAGGCCGTAATTCAATATACCGGGAGACCGTAATTCGAGGAAACAAAGAAGCCAGGTTCCGGTAGAGCATGTTCAATCTCACGAGAAAAATAAAAGCCTATCCGAAGATCTATTCGACGTGCTCCAAAAGGCCTATGAGATTTTGACCCCTCCTTTATATCCCTTTAATCCTGTGGGATTCTGAAGGATCCTTGACAAGACGCTGTTCATGAACAGCGGGACCGTAAATCTATTGAACCGGTAAAAAAGTATTTTCCGATTCATTTGAATTCACCGCCAATTTTTAAAGCCAATCCTTACGTTTAAATGGCGTCGTTCGACATTGAAATAAAGTACGACAAATCTTCATTAATCTTTGCCCATTCTCTCCCGCCTGGCATTTCCAATATAGCTTCGACCCTCTTTCTCAGCCTTTGTGTTTTTGAATTAATTTACCTACCTATTCCACTCCTTTTTTCGTCAATGACCTGTCGTCGTCATTTGTCTCGCGAATACCTTCAATTCTCTTAATCTCTTAAAGGATACTCCAAATGCCAGATTATCGACGATGCATTGATTACCCACTGATTACATAATGAAATATTCGAATTAAGCGTTGAAGCCTAAAGGACGTTTCCATCGTATAAGTATAAGGTTATGATCACCTACAGTCGTCAACCTTTGTCGTTGACGTCTTCCTACTACTTGTCACCTCGCGGAATCTGGACCAGTCAGCTCCGGACAATAGATTCGTTGTCCGACGTCATCGAAGCGTCATTGAAATCTGGTTTCCTGTACCCATAGGTCAGGTACGTCCGATCGATAAGGCGCATCCCTACTTAGACAACCGTTGTATCCGACAAGTAGCGTTTAGTTTGATACACCTAAGTATATTATTATAGCACTTAAAGTATATCCGAATAGTACCTACCTTATCAACACCAACTATATGGATACTTGAAAATGTATTACTATAATATATTTGCGAGGTACTACGAATATATCGTACAACTATCCAACTCAGACTTACCAACTGAAGTTGGCCTATTCATCTGATCAGTATAGTAAAAATTACTTCGATCGATACGCTTGGGTTGTATAAACTGATATAAACAGTTTCAGTACTACCAACAGTTATTTTAGTGATAACGCTCGCTGACGGAAATGCCGAATGGTACTGGATAGTGCGATGCTGCAACTACAAAAATCTTATTGCACAGTGCGATATGTTCGGAGATATAAAATATTGTAGTTTTTATAGGTATATAGATATATATTTTATGTACAATATATTTGTACTTTATATTATATGGGTTTTCTACATGACGATTTTATTTGCTCGTTTTATCGTTAAAGGGTACCTACGTAATAACTATTATCATGACGAGGTCGTCATGGAATTTATCTTTGAGGTTCTATTACCGCCTTGGAAAGATGCTTCGTGTAAAGAATTTTTTTTTTCTCGGGACACCCTGTAGATGGCTTCGTTAGGATCGTGTTTACGCGCTACACACAATTCCATTGTTTCTAACTAAGCATAATGAGCTTGTTCTTTTGACAATGGTAGGCGGATCCAATTAATGATTAATTTTAGTCTGAATAATATTGTTATGTTATTTTTAATTATTCTGCTCATTCAAAATGGCTGTTTCGACACGTGTTCTCGTATGCGTTTAAAAGTAATTATAATTTTGTCGATGTACAATTTTTTTTTACGAAAATTATTTTTTTTTATATATCAGCAGTAATGACGGTATATATTTACAACATTGTTTATGGATTGTATAATAAATCTAAAAAGAAAATTTATTATTCAAAACGTCAGTTGTCCTTGTATATGTATATCATTTTTTTTTTTCATATATCGAAGTCTGATATTCTTCGTCAATTTGATACTGTCAAAGATAAAGGAAGAGACAAAGATAAGAATAAGGGAACGGAAATTCAATGTCATTTTTTTTCATCATACGATCTTAATATATACTATTTAAACTCTCTGAAAAATCTCATTGATCTTTTTTTTTTCAAAAACTCAAATTTTTCTTCAATTTCTCATATGCGTTAGTATATCTTGTCTTTCGAAATTCCAGTTGCATCTCCGCCAGATAGAAGGGTTACGAGGGACGACATCGGGCTGGCATCGTCACCTGCAAGCTCTAATGCAAGCATAAATGCAAGCACGAGCTGCACCGGTGGCTCTGCGTCTTCGTGCTCACACGGTCCTTCGTCCCCTGGCCGAAATGGTCAACTTTCTAGTAAGTTCACGTCTTGCTGTTATGCACGACCGATAAATGTCCACTGCACATTTATGCATTGATCTATATATATATATATATGTACATACATAAGAATGAAATATACTTTACAAGTATTTCTGTGTATTGCACTTTTTTCTTGTAGCGAGTACTTACGCGGCGTCAGGGGAATGAGGGGAATGTTGACTAGGAGGGGTGAGGGGAGCAAAGCGAGCCGCTTAAGGAAATAAAACAGCCAACTTGAAAAACAAAAGTTACCAGTTTACCGTTTATAAATATTCTGTCATTTACTGTCGCTGGAATTTCTTTCAAATTTGTGTCAAAATTCAAATTCGTCTCACTCTACCATGGTAATCTCGAAATTTAAGGATCTTTCGCTTTTTTCTCACCAACTGATACCCGTACAAGGGATTTTTACAGTGTATTTTTTGTTTGTGCACTTTATGTTTCCTATAAGGTTTTATGTACTCGGTGATTGTTCCATATTGTGTTTTGAAATCGTATAATGGTATCCCTGGTGAGAATAATAACAATGGTGAACCTCTATATTCGAGTTCCGTGCATGGAAAATGTTATGCCGTATGCATATATACATATATACATAAAAGGTAATTCGTTTGAAAGCGTCACGGAGTGGAGGCAGCAGGTGCATCCAAGTACATTGCGATGATCTTTACACGTAGTTCTCGTAAAACCTGTAAATAAATTACCGATGTCTAAAGATTTTTCAAAGTTTCCTCAAACAATAGTAATAATGTATTCTGACGAAAAACGAAAAAAAAAAAAAAATAATTTTGAGGTTATCGAATAATTCAAAATTTTGTTAATTCACAAATTTATCGATTCGGTCTATTGTTCGCGCGATTGGCAATCAATCGTAAAACATTGGAACGTTCAGACTCCTTGTGACGCTTCGGGGCCGCTATTGTGTATATAGCAAATCAAACGAGACCGGTATAAAACGAAACCACACTGTCTCAGCCCCAGCAACAAAAGACAGCAGCGCGCCCAGTAGAACAATGGCTGTGCGAGGTACGAGCTCGGGAATTTGGGTGGATTTTATTTTTTTTATTTTTATTTTTTCTTTTTCCAAGGTTACATACTCTGCCGATTGAATTCGAAAGCATCATGGTTGGGCATCACAAGGTTTGCTTGTAGGTTTCTTTTTGATTTCGAAAAATCAACTTGACTATCGGTGTATAAAATATTTTTTTTTTTTTTTTCGAATCGCCTTATCAGCTAATTTTTATTTTTCGTTATTACTTTGTTTATCAATCGATTCGATACTTTATCAAATTTTATTGTTTTATATTGACTGTTTTTTTCCTTTTATATCGAGTATCACTAGATTGCTTGTATCTTAATTGAAAATTAAAAGACTCTCCGAAGATTTTTTATATCGGGTTATTAACACCTTTAATGTTTATTTGATTGACAGTCTCGTTGACAAGCACGTGGCATACACGTTCGTTGAAGCATGTCTAATGAAAAGTCCTTTGATCGTTTATTGGACAAAGTTAGTGAAAGGTAAAGCTAGGTCAGATTGGAAAATGGGTTAACTTTATAGGCAGACACCGGTTTACGTCATTGAACTGCAAGTCAAGTATTGTTGGTTGTCTTTTTTTATGAAAAAAAAAAATTTTCTTCCTTGATACAAATCAAAATTTTTACTTCACTCCAATGACAAGCACGATCATTGAAAATGAATGAAACATTAAAAAGTTGTATATAAAAATTTTTGTTTACACCAATCTGTTGTACTGAATATAATTTATAGATGTATCTCAAAATGCAATCTATGGACAAACCTGTCCAGTAATTTTTTAAAAATTCTTCTACACGAATATTACTTGAATATTACTTGTACTTGATCTAAGATTGTACAGCGTATCTTGATCCGAACATCCCACGAGACGCAGCATCCAAGCTAAATCAATCTTCCAACCTAATAATGATAAAAACATTGATACTTTAATATCTATCGAATCGTGAGTTAAAGGATGAGTGGCACATGTTATTATATTATGTAACCCTTATGGCTTGATGGGATCGTGTGATTGGCATGATCAATTGCGATTGGTCCAAATGCCATTGTATTTCATGGAATTAGGTGGCAGTGAGATGAAAACAAGAACTGATAATTGAAACACGACCTATACTTGGAACACTCTATCGATCGGAGCTCGTAGAAAACAAGGCATTTTTATAACAATTCGTTCCATTAAGCAGCATTCACAACGTAATGAAATTATTACGAGATTGTCTTATCGTAATTTTTTTGGTTTTGATCGTTTGTTTATGGGGTGGAGTGTACTCGTTAGTCCTTGGCGTGATTATAATCCACACATCCCCCTCCCCCCCATCCTCCTTCTTTCTCCCACCTGTAATATTTGATTACGTCATTTCAATTTCGTAATACAATGCAATCGAGGGTACAATCGTCATACATACAAGTCAATTACAAAATTGATTTTCAAAATGTCAAATGAACATAGTGGGCGGTATCGATTGCGTCATCATTGAATATAATGATATACGAGTAATTTTTTTTAAATTTTCACCATAAATCGTACTGTTTACCGAAAGACTCGAGAACTACCGTTTTTCGAATGGATCTGATGGTACAAGGAAAAAAGATAACTGTTTAACACACCGCTATGATTTAATATGGCCGTGCAGCTTCCGGGTCCTTGGTAAATATTTAATCGAAATTGGGATCCCTCCTTGTATACACAGATGATGTAATGGGGTCGGGCTTAAAAGAATTTTTATCACTTTTTTATATAAGATCTGCAGGTTCTAGATATAGATCTTACGGATTATGATTCTTGTGTAAATAAATCTCGTGGCGGATTTACATTTAGCTGCGACACTGAAAGTACGAAAACTTGATTTTTCGAACTTTGCTTCAAATAGGGTAAGAAGCGTTTGGGGGGTCGTTAGCCGTTTTTTATTTTGAATATCACTCGAAATATCTTGGTAGTACGTCATTACGAAAAGTGTACTTTTTCTTACTTATAATTTTTGTGCAAAGAAGGAAGGAAAAAATCATGCAATTTTCATTTACAAAATGTTTTTTTCTTATTCATGAATCACGAGAGAAAGCAACGACACGTGACGTCTTTGTATATTGTCCCAGTACATTTTACGCTCTCGTGCGAAACACTGGAAGCATTAAAAATGAACGGTCTTTGGATTTTTCTGAAGTTTTCATTATGAGCGAAAAAACGTGAATTCGTAAAATGCAAAAAAAAATTTTGGCATATTCGCAAAATGGGTTGAACAAATTATTCAGTCATTGTTCGCAATCAAATTTTTTTTTTTAAATAAATCACTGAAAATTGTATCCCCCCCCCTCTTTTCCGTCGTTGATCTCACACATCTCACACGCCTGACAATTAAATTTGAAATTCAAATCGCTAATTGCACTTTACTAATGAAGCTCGACCTTCAATTCTATAGTTTCAATCAAGCGCCCAGCATGTGGCATTAGGCTAATTGCTGGTAACCTTATCTTGTTCGAGTCCTAACAGATAAGTCCCATTCGTACGAATGGGTCTTCCGTACCAATAAATATAATTGCATCAGTTATCGATCAAGTTACACAAGTTATTCAAGTTCACGCTGTAGGATCCGATTAAATTGAGCTTTAAAGCCTTTGATTAAACTTTTCTCAAAGTTTTAGTCAAAAACTGATACAACTATGTAAGCTCTTAGTATATCGGTAGAGCTATGGTGCCCGTGGATGATCACCCAAGGTACAAGTTTACCCCCTCGTAACTTTACTATTTTGGATTTACAAACACCAAAAGCACGGAGAAACTCGGAAACTACATGGTTATTTGAAAACTGACAAATCCGAGTCTTCGTATACGAGTTTCTGTGTAAAATATAAAAACGCGTACGCTTATAAAAAGACATACCTAACCTAATATTTTAACGGAAATTTTGACAGAATTTCACGAAAAAAAAAAAGAAAGAAATCCTGCACAGATAGCAAAAAGTAAAAATTCCTTTTTCCTATATTCTGAAAAAAAATGTCTTAAGGTCTTTGTGTTTCTGGTTTAGGTAATGGGCGTGCTTGAGTGAAAAGATAAATTCAAGGAGCAAAGCCCTACGAGAGAGAGAGAGAGAGAGAGAGAGAGAGAGAGAAGATGGAAAGATAAAAATAACAGAGAGAAAAGATGATGGAAAGATAAAGACAGAGAGAGAGAGAGAGAGAGAGAGAGAGAGAGGGATAGAGAGAGTCTTCAGCCACGACGTTAAAACCTTTATCGAAAACGATATTCTCCCTGATTCAAGATGGCACGTAAAGTCGGGACACGTAGTTTTTACGTTGATATGAGGCAGATAAGAGATAACACAGGGCGTAAAGCTTTAAGTGATTCGTCTCTTGGAGGAGCGTTAGACTGGATTCTCACAGGATCTAACCCAGCTCTCCGGTATACGATTGCGTTTCCCGACATCTGCCAGTATTGATGTCTTGGCTTTCAATGTATAACGCAGTCATCCTTGCTACAAAGATACAGGGTTTTTCTCTTTAAGAGAAACCGAAGCTTTTACAGGGATTCGGTTCTCTGCGTACTAAACACTATATTCGGTAAGACATTTCGACTCCACATAGTAACACTGTACTATAACTTTCGTCTACCATGATACCATAACTGTGCATATATGCACTGGCATACTAAAATGGTACGAGTACAGTCATACTAGTGAGACTTGCTCGCTATACGTAAAGCCATAATACTTTGCGCGTACTGTACACATTAGTACAGTCGGTACAAGCGTAATACTTTATGTTACTGGTAATAATAATTTTATTGTTGGATACTTATTTTTATATGGTGTACTTATTTATGTATCACGTTTATTATTATTGTGTTAATCGGGTAAATGGATTTTTTGGTGTTTACGTCGTGACTGTTTATGGAAATTATGATATATTTTTTGCACCTATTTTATAGTGGATGTTTTGGATTTTTTTTTTTTTTTAAAGTAAATTGTTGACGCCTTTTGAATTTTGTTTTCTTCTTGTTTAATTACAGAGCAAGGCTCGTTGACGATAGTGCGCCGTAGTTCCGGCAAAGGCAAAGCCAGCCGTGCCGGAAGCGGAAGTGGCAGTCTCGAGTGTGCCGCACCGCCTGAAAGCCCCGAAGCTTATTTGCGAGGTCAATCCGTTGACCTCGAAGAGGTCCTCGACAATGTAGACCTCACTACCGACACATTGCCCGCCGTCGACACACCCGATGCCTGCGACAAGGCTGCCCTCAGGTTTGTTCAATAGAAATTAATTGGTAGATACAAAATTTTGACGTAACACAAAATTTGGGAGTTATCAAGAGAAGGATTGGGTTATTGATTGTCATTTTTATTATGGCCATACAAATTTTACGGGTTAGTCGAATACAAATTTTTGCAATTTCTTCAAGTATTTGCATGGAAAATTTTATGACGAGTAAAAGATTGCAATGCGGATTATCATTTGTTGTGTTACGAAAATGTAAAATTTTGCAATAATTCTTTAATTATACAAATAATACATTTTTATAGTCAATTCTTTAGTTTTCGATGGAAAATCGAATTTTCCAAAATTTCACAAATATATTGCCGACTGCCAACAACACAATCATGCAATTTTATTTTTTCCAGATTGAGATGTCTGTTGCGGCAGTTGCAGCGCGGCGAAATATCCGCGGAATTGCTCCAGAGAAATTTGCATTACGCCGCGCGCGTCCTCGAAGCCGTCTTCATCGACGAGACCAAGTAAGTGTGTTCCTAAAAAGATAAAATCGAAGGAAAAAAGAAATGAAAAAAAAAATCTAAAAACGAAAAAAAAATTTCGTGTGTGATCAAGAAAAGGCAGAAGAAAAATTCGCATCTAACGATAAATGGAGATTCGATTATGCCCAAAAGAAAGAATGAGGAAAGCTCAAAGATAAAAATAAAAGGGACAATTATCGTTGGATCGTTCTCCATTACTTTTTAGCAGGAAATAAAAAACAAGATCCTCCGAGTCCTTGCTCGATGCGCGTCCCGAGTTTTTGGCACGTGAGCGGAAACGGGAATGGGGAAATTGGCCCTTAGGCAGTTACCGTGCAAAAATAAGTGTCGAATTAAATTTTCATTATTTTACCTCCCTTATGTTTTCCCTGCTCCAATCTGTTACGCAATCGATCACCCGACACTCTCGACCGCTTCCTGAAATTCGAGTCCACGAAATTCGCAATTACATTAAGAAACCGCACAGTCTCTTAAATTTAATGTCCATAGACGAGATGCTGCGCGAGATAATCGTGCGCGAAAAAAAAATTCGTAAAGGTATGTATTCACTGAACGATTTAATTATTTCGCTACTCTTCTGTTCGCCTTGATTCGCTCAGTGGATATACTTATTAAGATGCACTCAGGTTACTTGCGGCTAATTCGACCTTGGGAAATAGATAGCATACATATACATATACATAAATTTTAATAAAATACAGCCACGAAAGATGCTCGCTAAAATTTTGAAAAATAACATCACTTAATGTACATTGAGAGTTACAGCATCTCGAGTCGAAAAACCAAGAAGCAACTCTGGACCCGTGAATTTTAATATCTACAGTTTGTATCTGATAAAATATATTGAGAAACCATTTGAGAAATGAGATTTGAGGTAGGCTTCGACTTAGCGTGTGTGTCACACGCGCACGACCCCTATGTAATATCAGTATGATACCTCAGGACGCTAAATCATACCATATGATATATGAGTGACGTGAGATATTCGGAGGGTTAATTAATTAATCATAATAATTAATATCGTTGACCGTTATTGTTCTATAGAGATTACCGCAAAGTCACGGGTTTAATTTTACTTCAATCTCTATTGCCATTTATTACCTTTGTTACGATTATTATTAGTCCGTGGTCGAAACCTGATTACATGCAGTCATATTGTTTCTGTGGTTAAGGGCGAATTGGGTATTTTGATGGTAACGGTGAATCAATGGTTGGTTGAATTATTCGAATATATCAAAATTTACAATCGGATACGTATTACCTGTGACAAATGTTTGTTTAGTCAATTCTATCGTGACATAGGTATATATTTGTTTTGTAGTATTGATTCTCGTGGATTTACTGATAATACGTATTTGTAATCTAACTAAGTGGATATGGTAAATATTTTATTTACGTATTATATATATGTAGTCTTTTTTGGATGGATAGGGTAATTTTGATGGGTACTGGGATTTAATTGTAATTTGATAACATAAAAAAAAATATAGTGTCATAGGTTATGTTCGATTTTTTTCTGTTAATCATTTTTTGTATTAGATCTGTCAAAAAGAAATTGTTAGTAGGTAATTATTAATTTTTGGTATTCACATAGTATGAGATTTTATTTCTGAATTGTATTTCTTTTTAAAAAAAAACTATACTTAGTCGTTGGAGCTCTTAAGTATTTTGTATATAGAGATTAAAGGGACGAATGATAGTCGAACTGTCTATTTATAAATTTTGGGATTTCAATCGAGTCTCTTTGCAAGGGCTGAGAATTAAGGGTAGGGCCTCTTTAGCTCAGTGGCAGAGCACTGGTCTCGTAAACCAGGGGTCGTGAGTTCAATCCTCACAGGAGGCACATGGATTTTTGGCACGAGGTCCTTAAAAAAAATTTTTTTTCGTTCCATCACCGAACAAGAAAATGACAAAATTAGTTATATTCGTTTTTTTCAGTAAAATCGAAAAAAAAATTTCAAAATCCAATTCTTACCTCGAGCTAAAGTGGTTCAGCCATCGTAACTGGATTTGCTTCTTGTTGCGTTTTCGATTTTGATATCGTGATACATAAAAATTGTCCAATGGCCCTTTTTTAAAATAATCATTGTTGTCTCGATGTAAACGTGACTTTCGGTTTATGACTTCTAATATATCTAAACTATACCTATATATACATATACTTCAAGCTGTTCTTCGCTTTTTTTTATTTTCATCCTCTTCGCACTTAAAACTCTCTTACTCTACTGTAACTCGAATATAACCCAATTCTCAGGAATTTCACGAAAATGTTAAATACCCACACTTATATACATATATTCAAATTTTTTTTAATGGCCGCGGCGACGCTGACCACAAAACTTGAGGTCATCTCAAAACTTCTTCTTTACTCTGCTGTTGTGCAACTTTACCTAAGTACTCGCAAGCTTGTTTCTTATTTCCTACTTTTCTGTCTGACTTGTCTTTCACAATTTGAAAACTTCGAAAATTAAACCTATGTATCTACACGTAGTTGACACACTTATTGTGCCAATTGACGATATAACACGTACGATATATCAGCATACGAAGAAATATGTTCAGATATGTAACTATTGACAAAATTCAAGGTAATACCATATAAGAGAACAACATCACAACGATAGGACGATATATTTTGCATTTCAACAAATTCAAAATCTTTGCCACTTGTTCCCTTGGACCGAGAATATACCAATTAACGTACTGTTCGCAGTCAAAATGAAAATTCGTAAAAATTTGTTTCTCTTCAAGCGAACCAGTTTTGCAAGTGACAGAAAATATTTTTTTTAATAGAAAATTTGTAAAAATCCCAAAGGAGTGGCAGGAACAAAAAATGTAATTTATTTCAAAAAACAGGTGCACCTACTCAACGGTGGAAATTTTTGGCGTTTCCAGAGGATCAAGCACGTAGACCAAGTCGACTAACTAATTATTTTCAGTATCATCGTTCACAGGTATTTTACGGAGCCGATGACGATTTTTTTCGAAGGCAGTGATGCCAACCGAGAAATTATGAAAAAAGTCAACAAAAAATATCGCACTGTAATCTTTATGCTATTCTGTTCTATTATGCGTACGACTAACAAGCACTACTACAGGGTGAGTTCAGGCGGGCCCGAGTGCTCACGATCGTCGCGTAGGGGGGCGGGCCACGGGACTACACCCCTGGGGGTCGGATTGGACACGGATGGAGCACAGGGCCACGTGGTGGCCACCCAGAAACGGAAGCTTCGCACCCCCGTGTGGGCAAGGTTGCGAAACATTCACATTTCCAACCCCAGTAAACCCTGTGCGAACCTTAATAAACCTGTACCATACATACATCATACATATGCCAATCAGTTCGATCAGTCGATAACCCCCTTGGTCACCTGTGATCTATCTGGAAAAAAAAAAATACCAAATGAGACCAACCCTATCTAAACAAACCTGACCTACCCTATCCTACCCTGAATTGACCAATCCCACATTCACTATTCATTGTTTAACTTTCAACGTCATTAATTATGTAACAATGAAATCGTGTGTCGCATATGTATTTATGTGTACACTTGTTTATACATATATGTGAATGTATTCAAACGGTAGCCAATCAGGCGTTATCGCTATCGTCGTCGTGCTTGTGAACAAAATTTGAACGAAGAGGCGATTTGACTATTCCGATGCGTTTGGTCGAGGAATTTTTTTTAAAGCAAAAACTCAACAGAAATGAAACACAAAAAAGTTCTGTGTTTTTGGATTGACGTGACAGTTTGTATACTTGTATACTGGTTTTTTGAAATTTTCAATTTGTCTTGGAGAAATTTTCAAATTTTGAATTTTCACGGGTGAGTGACCCTCGTATTAATTTTTTTTCAGTTTTCAAAAATATCAGCTTTTTCGCTCAAAAATATTATTGTTCACAAAGGAATACATTCTATATACGCGTTGCGTTAACTTTAGGTAAATAGTTTTCTTTCTCATTGACTATCACCTATCGTTCTATTGAAAACTGTGCTGTGGTTTGTCTGTAAGAAAAAAAAAAAGTTACAAAAATAAATAGAATCTGCTTATTCTCCTATATTCAAGACACGCGTTTCTCTCCACTCTCTTGATAACACGCTTATCTACTTCCTTAGTCTCACTATCCTAGGATATTTCTATTAGCTGATACAAATCAAAATAATACGTAGACTTTCCCTCAAAGGCAGAGTTCTAAGTATTATGGACGAATCAGATATGACAAAAATTTTTAAAAATAAAAATCCATTTTTCATTCATTTTTTTATTATTTACTCAATCCTGTCTTGAGTCTGGACCAAACTTTCATTCTCATCTATCCATTATCAAAATATACTTCTATAACCTACACTGTCCCTTATCGATGCTTTCCTGACAATCTCATTTTTTTTTTTTTTTCTTATCTATGTCAACCGATTAGTTTCAGATCGATAATCGATCCAGACACTAATCGTTCTGCGAGTGTAAATCGGTTCGCATAGATAGGAAAAATAATACTGAAATTGTCAGGAAGTCATAAGATGCGGTATATCTATACATTACTTTCGGAGGCTTCACCTCCACCACATAACTCAAGCTAGACGGCAATGCAGCATATAGCGTAGCATGGTAGAGTATATAGTCGTAATTGAACACAAACCAGCATCAAATTATACTCAAATTTGAAATCGAAGAAAATGGAGGAGTGAACATTTTTCAAAATTCATTTTTACCCATGCAAGGAGCGACGATGTAATTTCCGTGAAATAGAAAAAAAAATGGCGAATGCGTTAGAAAAGCGTATAAGGATCCACGTGTAGATTTGATCCTCGCGTAGATGTACTGAGATAAATGAAAAATGATAATAGAACCAAAGACAAGATTTTCTTTTAATAATCTGTCTATTTATACTAACCATTCTACCGTAACGGCATGAAAAATCGCCTGTCCGTCTGCTTGTATCTATACGTATGTCTGTCTTTATGTCCATTTCTTCTTTTCTCTTTTTCTCTCTCCCTCTCTCTCTCTCTCTCTCTCTTTCTCTTGAGATTCTCTTTAGGTGTAGCCTGTTCGTCCTTGGATGTGCCTGTTGCAAGTTGCATCGTTATCCTGAGCATTCCCCCTGGAGATGCATGTGAATATTTATCTACAGGGTGTCCCAGGATGATACGACCCAACCCCATATGCACAAAAGTGTACTATACGTGTTAAATTTTTTCATGTAAGAGCAAAGAGTCGAGAACGAGATTGATTGGAAGAAATTTTTGAAAAATTGTATCGATGATAGAAAATAATTTTTTCGTATGATTCAATCGATGGGATTATAATTTTCAAAAAATTTGTCAATCAATCTCGACGTCACGTGAGACGTATTTCCATTTGCGAGGCTGTTTTCGCTCCATTGATACGATGTTGTTGTGACGTTTGTTTTCCTTGATGTTTTATTTATAGAGAGGCTGAACGTCTGGAGAAGGCCGCCACCTGCCAACCGGGTGTACCCCGTAGGTTCGTCTCAAAACAAACAAAACAAAAGCAACAAAAGTTTTAGAAAAGTCTAGCTCAAAGAAATCACGCACTTTCTTTCAAAAATTTCATACCGATGTGTTTACACGTGTTCATAGTTAGATACTCAACACGATTTAATTTGCATGTATGAGTTACGTTGAGTTAAGAAAAAAAATCTAGATACTGTCATCCATTAAAGATAAGCGTAATCGATCGCGATCGAATGATCGAATATCGATTTTAAAACAAAAAATCGACATATTTTTTCCTGATCGATATCATCAGTTTCAAATATCCCTCTATTTTCCCCACAGTGCATTTTACCCCGTTACAAATAATACCGCGTAGATCGTATTAATTTTTATCAAGTCACCCTATAGTGACACGCATGATACCCAAGTATGTATATATATATGTAATTTTAAAATCACATTTTTTGTTTATTACAAAAATTTACATTTTTATACCTACACAAAAAATGACGGTCGTCACGTGCGGCTCGTCCAGCAAATTGGCTAAAATAAAAAAAAAACAGACAGTGAAAGCTTTTTCGGATTAATACTACATTTTCGTGCTCACCAGGTATATCGATAATAATCAGGCTAGGAAAAGGATCAGTGTTTCACGGTAACTAAGCAAGTGAAAACTTCTTTTCAACGAATTAATTCGCTTCGTTATTCTTAATTTCATGGTGTTGAACGTGGGTACAACCTCCCCCCCCTCCCCCAACCAACCACCCACCCATTCAATCCCTATCCCTGCCTTCTAATGGAAACGAGTTTTACGTGAGAATAGATCCCCCGATATTATCAGCAACGAAAGCAACCAATTTCGTTGAATCGCGTCGTGGGCGAAATTCATGGACTTAAAGTTGATAAGGAGTTTAACGTCGGCACTGATCCTCGGAGAAATTCGCACAGGGGAATTAATATTTAAATAAATCATACCAGGCGACACTCGAGGTCATTTGAAAACACTTTTATTATTAATAAAACATTGACTCTCGCGTTTAATTATAGGTCGGTATTATGATTTTTTTTTCAACTGCATAATTACTTTTAAATTTTATTTTTCAAACTTGGTCATACCCTCCCACCAATCCCTACGACCAGAAAACCAGCTACAAAGTCCTATAATTGTATATGGATAAAAAAAAGTAATCTTTCTTTTTTATAAACAATAATAATATTAGTAGCATTCGCCAGTTGCTAATTGTTAATTTGGCTTTATACAAAGGCAAGAATTTTCATTTTATATTAAATTAAGAGCTTGCTGAAGCTGTTGCATTTTATACTATGCCAATATACAATATATATATATATATATATATATATATATATATATATATATATATATATATATATATATATATATATATATATATATATATATATATATATATATATATATATATATATATATATATATATATATATATATATATATATATATCAGTCCTGTGTTTCCATGTCGTTAAATAGCTTTGAAATAAATGTTCAAATCGAAAGCATTGCCCAAGTGTTATCACTCGCGAATTATCACTCGCGAGCGATAACCACGTAATATTGGAAAAACGAAGTACAATTTTTCGATTGATCTCAATAGCTCTCAATGTTCTTGTTCGACAATTGTATTTGAATTTATTACAAGTTGGTCGCGTTGCGCTTACTCGAGCGAGCCTAAGAAAAATACATGGCGACACAGTCGAGGAGTAACGAATCTACTATCCAGAGCTATCTGGCTCGAAACTTAACAGTAAGTAGTATAGGTACGTAGGCGAAGTAGCGACAAATTTGTAATGAACGTTGCGCAAGATCGTTATTCGCTATAGTGCCGCTGATAGTTGAAAAAGAAAAAAAAAAAAAAAAGGTGTAACATAACAATGACAACATTACAACAATTCATAAGATCGTACAGAAAGGTGCATGCTGCGAGTGATATCGATAAATTTTTTTTATTAATATTAATATAAATTTTCACGTGTTTACTTCATAATCAGATATACACAACATTCGTACCCTCGCTGTTTTAAATACGTAAGAGTCGTTACATGCAAATCACGCAATCATCCAATTTCTAAAGCCTCGTGACTCTGAGCAACGATAGATACAACATAGTTGAAGAGCGCGAGAGAATTAATAGGAATCATGGCGATGATATATTTTTATTATTTTTTTTTTTTTTTAATAGTTTATATGCATTGAACTTAGAGGCGTTCTTTTTTTTTGGTTAAATTATTTTTTTTCAAAATCTCATAATTTTCACGACTAACGTAAACACTTTTAACTCTCTATCAGGAGACTCGCCGACGAAGATGACGAACTGTCGGAAGTGCAGCCCGACGCGGTGCCACCGGAAGTGCGCGAGTGGCTCGCGTCTACGTTCACGAGGCAATTGGCTACGACGCGTCGCAAGGCAGACGAGAAGCCGAAATTTCGTTCGGTCGCTCATGCCATCCGGGCTGGGATCTTCGTCGACCGGATATACAGGCGGGTCACCAATCCGGCCCTTATGCAATTTCCCCAGGAGGTCGTCAAGGTGCTCAAGGTACGTAGACCGTAGGGATATATAGGATTTCTTCTTATTATACATAGCGGACCAATTTTACGTCCCGTTACGACTTTGGCGGAAGTGAGAAAGAGGGGTTGAGCTCAGAGAAAGTAATTTCCGGTAAATTTGTAGCCTCGTGAAATTTCGGTGTATTTGAAAATATTGCCCTTTTTCAAATTGCGTACGGATATGATTAAGAAGAATTGAACGTCCGGCGAGCCTGATCGTTGGGTTGGTACTCGTAAACTCGAATTTGAGAGGAAACCATTTTTTTTGGAAAAAATGGATTCAAAATTATGACGTCACTTTTTTAAATCTGTGACAACGCAATGACCCGATTACTAACGGAAGTCAAATAATACCAGTCAAGCTGGTGGGCTTGTGCAAATATTAGCTACCGGAAGTCGGACCAAGAATTTACTTTCTTTGTGATAACAAAGAAAGGCACGACCCAACGGTTCGAGAGATACTCTTTCTTTATTTCCTTCTTTTTGTCATTTCACCTTTTTTTCCTTTCTTATCCCCCACTGCTCAAGAGCCTCAAATCTCACCGTCCTTCATGCTAAACCCACTCGATTCTTGTATAAGATGTTCACTCTGGCTACTGTCCATAGTTTTTGTCATTTCAACTCGAAGTACACTCCTGAACAATTTTTGTTTTTCTTCACAGTGAATTAACTTCATCTTTTACTTTTTATAACTTCCGTTCATCCCCACTTGGTCTTTATGTACTATATAACTTTTCTTTTAATTATTCAGACCCTTCTTTACACGGTATACGGCTTTACCTTGATACCCAGACATGAAATAAGACTAATTAGATGTAACCTTAACTTGTAATTATTCTTCTTGAATTCGTTATAATTCAAAGTTGATTATTCTTTTGTTACATCAAAGACGCTCGACGACTGGTCCTTTGATGTCTTCTCTCTGAACGATGCTGCTCATGGCGCGCCAGTCAAGTACCTGGGGTATGATCTCCTTAATCGATACGGGATGATTCACAAATTTAAAGTACCTCCGACAGTTCTCGAAAGCTTCCTCGGAAGGGTCGAAGAGGGATACTGCAGGCACCGAAACCCATATCACAACAACCTTCATGCAGCTGACGTAGCCCAAACTATGCATTACGTACTGTGTCAGACAGGTTTGATGGTGGGTTAACCCGAATGATGTTTTTAATGAAAAAAAAAAAAAAAAAAAAAAAAAAAAAAAAAAAAAAAAAAAAAAAAAAACAACAACCTTCATGCAGCTGACGTAGCCCAAACTATGCATTACGTACTGTGTCAGACAGGTTTGATGGTGGGTTAACCCGAATGATGTTTTTAAAAAAAAAAAAAAAAATAAATAAAATAATTAATCTTACCTTCGTCACTGACCACAATTTCATAAACTCAGTAACAAAAATTTTCTCTCGGTTAAACATTAATACCAGCCATTATTTATTCCGCCGTAATCACTACATGGTAGACTTTAGTGATTTAACCGAAATAATTAATTAGCCGTACTCCAATGGGACTCCAGGCTTTAATTACTCTCGTTTACCATGGCATTCAGAACTGGCTGACGGACCTCGAGATATTTGCTACCCTAGTGGCAGCCATCATCCACGACTACGAGCACACTGGAACCACCAACAATTTCCACGTGATGTCCGGAAGTGACACGGCTCTCCTCTACAACGACCGGGCGGTCCTGGAAAATCATCATATTTCAGCCAGTTTCCGGTACGAACCGATTTCCCTAACCCGTATATCACTTATAGTCCGCGCTTCCGTTTTGCTTCTGCCCATGTGAATATCAAGGAGCTGTAAGTAACGGCAATTCGTTTTAATTTTGTTACAGAATCTTACGGGAGGAAGAATGCAACATATTGCAGAATTTATCCAGGGAGGAATTCCGGGAGTTTCGCTCTTTGGTAATAGACATGGTCCTGGCAACCGATATGAGCTTCCACTTTCAACAGTTGAAGAACATGAAAAATCTTTTGAGTCTTGCCGAGCCCAGTGTCGACAAGAGTAAAGCTGTCAGTCTCGTTCTTCACTGTTGTGACATTTCGCATCCTGCCAAGAGATGGGATCTTCATAATAGGTAACAATGTTAAATTTTATTGTCATGCCTGAGCTGTGCAATAGTAGTGGCTGACTGTGATGAGACTTTATTCTCTTGTTCAGATGGACAATGCAGCTGCTCGAGGAGTTCTTCAGACAAGGCGACAAGGAGAGAGCACTAGGACTGCCATTTTCTCCTTTGTGCGACAGAAACAATACACTTGTGGCTGAGTCGCAAATTGGATTTATCGAGTTCATCGTTGAGCCCAGTATGCAGGTTTGCAGCGATATGCTGGAAACTGTTTTAGCACCGTTGAACGTCAAAGAGGAAGCTGAAGATCCTAGCAATGGTAGGGATAAGAAATATTTTTATTTTTGTAAAACAGAGTTTTGGGTCGTAATATGCTGTATTTAATTTAATGATCCAATTTTTTATATCGATAACCAATTATTTCAGGTGCCGCAGCCAATGACAGACGCTTCAAGATCAATAAACCGTGGATTCAGTGTCTTGCGGAGAACAAGAAGATATGGAAGGAACAAGCGGCAAATGGTATAGATAACTGACAATTGGTTTTGTGAATTGACAGAAGAATTGTAATTAAATTTATATTTGCAGATGCTGAAGCTCGGGCACAGAGGGAACAAGAACAAAAAACTGGAGAAGATCAGAAGGAAGACGGAGGAGCAGAAGCAACGTCCGAGGAATAAATATTAATTGCGATAATGGAAAGGCTAGAAGTTAGTCTTAAGGTTTAAAAGTTGTATATATAATGGTTATTTGCTATACATATAGACTGAGGATAAACGCATACTCGACTTTACTTCATAAATTGCACAACAGTGCACTCCGTATGTGTGAACGTGCCCATTCGCTGCAAAATGCTTTTATTGGCCAATCGCGAATCTTTTTACTGTGTATGGTTCCAACATTCTTGATGTATTGTGAACAATACGTGATTACTGTATTAAAGGGATTTGTCTAAATTAATAATATAAAATGTACTACGATTTTGAGTATTTGTTGTGCTAATTGCTGTGGCACCTTCGGGAACATTATTTTTTATGAAATCAAACAAAGATATATCGACAATATATTCTTTGAGCTATTTAAAAAAAGAAAATCACTACTGTTACCTGATGGTAGTAAACGCAATTGGCCTTCGTGAACTATAGTTGTTGTCCGATATAAGATTATTATATTATCATACTCTTATCAGTACAATGGGAAGGATTACCTGGATCATAAGTTTCATTGTATTTAATACTTGACTCACCAATATATCAATATAGATAACGTTCCAATCAGCTAGAGGAAGTTTTTTTACTGTCTGTCAATTCTTGTTTTCATGACGAGAATCAAATATCGAACGATAACTGTACAAGCAATCTAATCTAATAATGATAAAATAATGGAAAAATTCTATTGACGAACAAACGATGGTCGCTCAACGATGGTCAAGTTTAAGGTAAAAAGTAACTTTGTAGCTGTACCGATGTATTAAGGCTTTTTGCAGCATGGGAACCGTACTAGTTGACAGTAAGCGTGACAAAGTAAAGTATTAAAAAAAATATTGCAATTACCAACCGTATTATATTAAGTGCTCGCAGAATTCTTTTTTAAAAAACTCCAGCTGGTCTGGTTTAAGGTAAAATTGCGTGAATATGTCGGGGAATGTGCAAAAAATATTAATAGAGGTTCAAAAAGCGGCACGCTTATTTCGTAAATAGGTCATACATTTAAACAATACGAAACAGAAAGAAATTACTAATTTCTCAATAAAATCTTTGTACATATTTACACGCGTAACCTGTACCAACTCATCGAGTGGTAAATTCGCTACAAGAATGACAAAGAAAAAGTAATCTTAAAAAAATGGCAAATTGTGTATTCAGTAATGTTTATTCAATATGGTTCTATGTTCCGTGTGTAAATATGAATGATAAAATTATTTTCGAAAAAGAATCCGACGTTGATTCATGGCAAGTAGAATTTTCTTATGTGTCCTTTTTTTTGTTGGATTTACATTTACGTCCATTGAGATCAAGTATCAGCAACTAGTAACGGCAAGTAGATCACGAGTAAAGTAGGCGCATTAATTTTGCAGTCAGCAGGCACGTGTGGGGAATTTGTCTGTCACATGTAAAATTTACATAACTGTAACGCGTGACAAAAATAAATAAGACGTAATTCGATTACCGCGCAATTACGTGAAATCATTGTTATAAACAGTGAGCGAAAAGATAAATGATAATTTGCAATAGCGCGAATTAACATAATATTACTGGCATAGTCATTAAATAATCATAATTGAAGTATTATAATATCGTAAGTACATACGTAGGTTAATTATCGGGACTCCGAGGTAAAACGAATCCGCCCTCTTTTTTCTTCTGTCCAGTAATAAAAAATATTAAAAAGTTATTGAAGTTTATGAGTATTAAATTTTTTTCTTTAATTCACGCAGTGTCAATTCCAAATCATATTTATGATAATTATGTAAAATAATAATATTTTACAAATATTAACGATATTGAACGATCCACTGTCCGATCTATATTTACCTGAAAACGATATTATCGATACAAAGCGTGAAAACTCAAAGAATAAAATTTATAATGTACCTGATTTAAGCACGTCGATGATAATCCACATTGAACGATGGAATATTCGCGATGAAAATATTCACCCTCTACGTTTTACCTCCGAGTATGCGATATCATAGGTAAACAAGGTATAATATATTCGTCCGACATTCGCGCACTTTGCAATTTTTTTTTTTCCTTTTAAGTCTTCATTATTTATTCACCCACGCCACTATTAGCATAGTCGTTAAATGTGCTGTTTTTATATATAACATCCAAGCCTTCTAATAGCTATTAACGCAAAAACCATGCTTAACGTCTAGTCGCGTGACAGTGTTATCCATCATCAAAGAAACAATAAGTAACAATACTGAAATTCCAGCAATATACACAAATCAATAGAGAACAATTAAGTAACATTCGTCCCGACGCAAACATAATTATATCCGAATCTAAGAATAATTTTAAAATGAGTGTCAGTGTGAAAAAAATTCAGTTCCAAATTTGAGTAGCCACGTGTAACACTGTCACCGACAAAAGCAACGAAACCGTTGGACACTCATTGTGCCAGAATTTTGAAAATGCCAATAACGTAAAAATTCAAAGACTATTGTACTATGGTCAATGTATTAAAATTGCCAGTGTAACTTATTATATGAAAACAAAGTAGAGAAAGAACAATGGCAAAATGCGTGTCTCACGTGCTCGTACTGAACAATTAAGATTACGCTCTCGGTGTGTTTGATGTTTGAAGGCTTGACAATTATGATTGAACTTTTAAGGAGCTTATCAAGAAAAGCTCCTAAACTGACCGGGATGATAGCTTTATTACTTAGGCATTCGCCGAGGCTCCCGGCACCCCTGCAAGGCGCAATGGCCTTGGGGGAACCTTAATTAAAAGGTACAAGCTAAGATTTTCTTTGTACTTACATAATACCGTATACCAAGCAAGACATCTGTCCCTTGTTTGAGATTATTCCTACATATTATTTTTCCCGGAACGAGATTCAGCGAGATTATTCATCCAATATACTAATTAAGCTTAGAAGTGGCAGTGAAAAAAGCCAGCAAGTGAGAGAGAAGAGAAAGAGAAAGAGAGAAAGAGAGTGTACTCGTTTAATTAACTGGATAATTAATTTTTTTTTAATTTCATACCCACTCTTCATCTTCCACCCTCTTTTTTATTCCCACTTCCCTTAAAAGTTCATTATTTATTCATCATATTTGTACAGCAACGTCAGTCATAATAACACTCCAAAATTACAAGCGCAAACCAATCAGCCGTTTTACTTTGTAGAAGAATTGTACGTGGGATAAATCGAGTATCCGTCCACCGCGTGATATTTATTTTCAGATGTTATTATATTTATTTATTTTTCATCCGATTACGTAACTAATGTTTTCTCCCCTGTCTTTCTTCCAACTCGCAATGAAAACGAGACAAATTTTTATCTGATGCCATTTTTTCGGGGACAAATAATTAAATTAGCAATTACGAGCCGAGTTGGCGTTACCTTTAAAACGATCTCTCGGGCATTACTTCCTGCAGCGGGCAAGGGGCCAAATCGCGCAATAGGGTTAAAAAAATAATAAATTCGAATCGCGGTTCAATTACTGTACATAAATACATAAATTTATAATAAATAATATATATACGCGACCGCGTTCAAACTACAGTACAGTATTTCGAAAAATAAGATTGATCATAGGGATTTAATTACGTAGGTAAAAAAAAGGCGTGTGCTTCGGAGGGAATAGAAACAAAATCAAAAGAAGACGTATGAATAAGTGATCAAATTTATGACGACGAGGGGGGAATGACGTAATTGAAGACGACAAATCGTTGTCAATGACGTATTTGACTCTGAGATTGAATGATAACGATAACGAGCGTTAATATCGCGTAAACGTAATTTCAGGTGGATTCCGATGAGTGATAATGAAATTTTGAAAAATTCTGGAAAAAAAATAATTTTTTTTTCGCACGCGCTGCGCTTAACAAAAATAACGTAATAACTGCGTTCATACAAGGGGCAAACAATACTCGACCAATAAACAATAATTTTTAAGATTTAGGTTAATCTATACAGTGTGTGCTGTAGTTTTCAGACTCTACTACATTAATTACTATGTATCATCCGTCTGTGCGTACGTAGGGGTAGTTTTGTGCTACGTATATGTCTCTGCACGGATTGTGCTCGACTAACACGCTTACGGGATTGGACGTTTTTTAACATTAAAATCGTAGATTGTATTACTGTGTGATAAGTGCGTGTGAGCGTGTGAGTATGAGAGTGAGAGAGAGTGAGTGGGGGGGGGGGGGGAAGAAAAA